TTCACCAAAAAACTCAGATTAAAAGCCATATTGAACAAAAACTACCAGTAGTCGTGAAAAGAATTTTAAGCAAAAATCTTATGAACGTCATTTGTTAAGAGCAGTAGAATTTTAAGTACTACTGCAGTAACAGAAATGCCCCCACGACATCGAGGAGGAGACTTTGTGAGAACTGAATCCAAAGTCATGCAGTTACAAAGTACAGTCTTCGTCGGTTATGTCGCATTCCGACGGGAAAGCGGCGTTTCCAAAAGCCACAAGAATCAAAGCTAAATTATAGCACACAGGCAGTCAGGCAGTCAGTAAGAAGTAAACAGATAAGTTTGAAACTACCAAGGTGAACCAACTGGGCTTGAGAGTCCCTTGAGAGTCCCCCCCCCCTCCTAAAAAAATGAAAGTTAACTGTAAAAACGCAGGGGAATGGGAAATTTTAATTGTAATGGCACTGAAACTTCAACGGTTCATTTAATTACGAATAATACAGCAGTTCCTTCCTACTAAAGTGCTGGATAATTTCACTACCACAAAGAAAACAAATATTTAAAATTTGCGAGAGTAACAGTTTTATTATTCGTAGTTCACAGAATTCTAGACTCCAAAAGACGGCAAATTTGGAAGAATCTCAGGCTGCGCATAACCGGACCAGACACTCTTAGACAACTTATTTTTGGAGTATTCTGACGACTGCAGACTCACTTCCAAACGAACATTTTAGAACATCAAAACGTTCATAAGATTACAGCGCTTTATAAGCATGTTGAGCCTCTTCAACTCCAGAAAGTTAGAATTGTTGGATTATGTGGTGTTGACAGAATTTCCAACGAGAAGCTAAAACCGACATGCCCGTACTAAGTGAGGATAATTGTTGCTACTAGCTGTGTGTCACTGCTGAAGCACAATCTTCTGCTTACTGGAATATTTTAGCATATTTTACAGCATCAGCACTAGCGCAGTTTTATTTTCAAGGGTGCTCCCGTTTAGGTGACGAAGGTTAGAAATTGTTCTGGCGTACATATTTTTTATTTACTTAATAACTTCTGGTTCCTAACTTTGTTTTTTTTTACCCGACAATTGTACTTACTTCTTGCGTAAGAAAAACTGTATTTTTATGAATGCAAAGCACACAGTTATGGTTGTAAATAAACTTCAGTTCAAACCGAAACTACCCGCACGATGGACATCCAAAATACTTGATTCTATTCGTTAATGGCCGAGCACTTTCGAATAAAATACCTGAACGAGTCCCGTAAAGAATTTGTTTTGCTTCAATGTCAAAGATATCTACCTGGAAGTGGACATTGGTTTTTTAGCACAAACGATGTTTTAAACTGCTTTACTTATCTTTGATTCTGGATTGTACAGAAAGCAGTAAAAGCGAGTTAACATAGGTCGCAGATGTTGTTTGAGAACCGCTGGGTAAAAAATGACATTTTTATTAAAAAACTTCATCTTAAAAATACTAGCCCTTCACCAGAACCTTCTAAAACTTTTTTTGAAACTGTTGCAGTATTATAACCAACCAAGTTGAAAACGACGAGAAAGTCTTGCATAAGTTCTTAAACAAAATATTGGTCAAACAGACAAACAAAAACTGACACAGCAAGAACTTACACCAGTTATCCCAATACTGCGATAAAGTCTCGATGTCACGTAACCCTCCACACTTCTGAGAACAGACATGACAATGTAGAAGTAAGTGTTGAATGCTCTCTGAAGGAAATTCATCGAAATCCCTTAAAATTTACTTTAGACTTTGTGAAAACATTAAAAATTTATTGAACTGTTGAATAATTTAAAACTTTGAAGGAGAAAAATACTCAGACCAGAAAAAGGCGAAAGTGTTCTGGGGACAGAGGACGGATTTGAAGGTACATTGAAACTTGCAATGTATCCATCACATACTGGCCAATTTGAATATTGAACTGTACTTGCATTCAGGAATGACGCCATCACGGTTGTGCACGCCTAAAACGACATAGAACCTGATTTATGATAATTTCGCCCAGAAACTCTGCTTCCAATTAAGGAAAGAAGTTTTTTGAAGGAACAGGCGTTAAAACCGAAATTCCCACGTAAATCTATGCAAAGATCGTAATTTATAAAAAGGTTGACCTGAACGATGTGATCTACGACAACTAAATCAAATTTCCGTTCCGAATGAAGCTTAATAAATGCATCAGACTGTACCATCCTTTTACAGTACTGCTGATTCCGTTGCAATATTTTAATAAATGTTGTGGCTGCTTCGAAGTTCCAAGGCTCATAGAAATCTATTGGGACATTTAATCTCCATATCAAAGTACCCCCATGTTTCATAAAGTTGATTGCTGAAATATAATTGAAGCAACGTTAGCTCTAACTTGTTACTTTTATAAAATTTTTTTCCTGCAGGATGTCAATCAGTCTGTGGGATTGCTTGTTTAAATATTATTTGCAAGGCAGTCGTAATGACCAAAAATACTCAACAAAAGTTTTGTAAAAAGTTTAGAACATAACGTAAGACGGCGGAAGGTCAAGAGTGAGGGTGCTCCTAATTCAGCGCGTCGTAAAAAGTACAATCATCAAGATAATTTTAATGGAAAGCGCTTTGAAGAGTTACAGTAGCGACACTGGTAGGTCAAGGGAAAAGCAAGAATAACAGAGAGTGAGTGAGTGAGAGGGAGAGAAAGGTAGACTTTGATAGGTAGCACATAGTCCTAGGAATCATCAAAAACTCCTCGTAAACAAAAAGTCTATTCAGCTTTTTTTGAATTTCTTCTGTAACTAATTATGTCTCTACTGTTTACTATACCTGCTACTGTTGCTCCCTGATGCAGTTTCTAAAAAAAAATTTTGCAGAAAAATTGAAAGGAGAGGCAGCTTTAATTAGGCTTTTCTGAATAAAACAGAGTGATTGTTACAAAGGTTGGGGCCTTAATCAACCTCACTTGGAAATTACTACAAGTAGCGGACTTAGTAATTGGTTCCAAAACTGCGGTGCGCGAAAATAATGGCGCACCTTGTGACTGTTATCTACTTTTTACCTTCCCTTGTTGAGATTAGAATCCTATCAGATGGCTCTCTGTCCGATTCCCATAAAGAGCGTAGCTGAACAGAATACTCGCGAACATATTGCTGCATCTAAGGCAGTTGAAAAGAAATCGGCTGGCCTTATTTTATAGATAGACTACTGCATAGGAGAGCTACTTCAATCCAAATTTTGCTCGTTTTCAGTTTAGACTAACAAGAGCGGTGGAGGAAAAAATTTAGTGAAGGCTTCCGTTTATTTTCCAATGGAATGCATAAAATTTCAAAGGTTCATAATTAAATGACAAGAAAAAAAATTGTTGGAATTAGCCACTGAAGGTCTTTCGACGAAATCTGTCTTTCCCTCGAGACCATCTGCGGTCTGCTCCGTCAGCTATGCCCGTCTTATTTTTTTTCAGCCTTGTTACAGGCGAAACAGATGCATTTGGAGAATTTTGACGAACGCTTTAACGTGTCTTGCATGTATAATTTGTTTCGTTTTTTTTTCAAGCTTAATTTGACACAATAAAAAACCCGGCCAAATAGTATGGGCGCTATTGTTCTTTGATATATCGTTTGTGCTGTACTTCCACAAGAAAAAATGACCAAGTTTTTTTTTTTTTTTTTTTTTT